GGGGTAATTTCAGGCAGGAAGCAGAAATCGCCAGGTTGTTTTAGGTTCTGAACTTTGAGATGGCTGGGCCCTTCCTGCCAGGTTCCGTTTCTTCTTTGCACCCCGTGCCCTAGCCCCTCCCCCACATCCTAACCGAGCTGGTGGCTCTAGGGCCAGGGACCAGGGACGGGAAGTCGTTTTCAAAAGAGACAAAATAAACCTTCAAAAAGCATCAGAGTGCAGCACAGAGGGAGAAATGGGGGAGTAGTGTCACCGCGGAGACCAAGGCCCGCGCTCATGGGGGGAGTCACGTCCGCCGTGCTGACCCTTGATGTGTGATGAGAGGGCACTTCGCCTCTGCGATTCTCGTCCCCCAGCTCCTACCACCAGTGGTGGGCACTTTACAAAACACCTGGCCACACTGCTCAAAGCCCCCAAGGCGACCACAGCCAAGGACATTCTGAGAGACCTTCAACCCAGAGGAGCGTAAGGGGACAGAATGACTAAGTGACATCTGGGATCCTGGAACGGAAGAGGGACATCAGGAGAGGGAAACTGAGGCGGTCTGAAGAGGACGCAGCCTTGAGTGACTGGCAATGTGTCAGCATTGGTTCACGGACAGTGGCACACGAGTCAGGGTGACGTAACACGTGCCCCACCGCAGCTGGAACGGGGTGGGGGTCCCGCAGGGGCTCTCGTATCACATCTACGGCCACCGTATCTACTAGTTGTGTTGGGCTTAGCCCTGTGTCTTGTGGTGACCACGAGCACCACCTAGTGGCCACATGGCTACGCTGGCCCTGATCACCTCCGCAGGAAGAAGGGTCAGGAAGCGCAGCCCTGTGGTTCGGAAGGCAAAAGGGTCTGCTTCCTGCCCTGTAGTGGCCCCTAATCCGGGCAGGGACACAGGCAGGGCACCCGGGGGCGGCTCATCAGAGGCAGAGTCCGCACCTTTGTCTTGAGTTGGTCTGAGTGACCAATCCTGTGGCACGTGGCCCAAGACGTCCTCCTGGGGGCACCGGCCACATTTCCTGCTGTCTCCCAGGTGCTTGGGCATAGTGGCGAGGGCCTTTGTCCCCTGGGAAGAGCTTAGACCCTTCCCATGACTTTTTTCCTGTCTGTTCTTAGGAAATTAGGTCCCAGGGTCACTGTAGCTTGATAGCGACCTTGACTTGTTAATTTAAAAAGCGTGGTCCCAGAAGGTGACACCCGGGCCTGGATTCCACTATGTGGGGGCGATGGGGCAGAGTGGGAGTGGGGGGCTGGGGGGGGTTCTCTTCCTTGTGCCCCTCCTCTCCAGCAGCTGCTGTTTTTGACTAGGGTTGCCAAATAAAACCGGGATGCATATATTTAAATCTGAATTTCAGATAAACAACCACAATCATATTTTTAGTGTAATTATGTCTCATGAAATGTTTGGGATTGTTGATATTAAAATTCATTATTTACTGAAATAAAACTTCACTGAACATCCTGTGTTTTTATTCGCTCCAATTCTTTCATTTATTTATTTATTTATTTTTTTGGTACCAGGGATTGGGCCTGGAGTGCTTAACTCCTGAGCCACACAACCAGCCCTTTCTATTTTTTTTAAATTTTGAGACAGGGTCTTGCTAAGTTGCGGAGGCCGGCTTTGAACTGGAGGTCCTCCTGCCTCAGCCTCCCGAGGGGCTAGGATTACAGGCCTGTGCCACCAAACCCGGCTTTACTCCGATTCTCTACCAGCCCCAGTTCCGACCCCTCTGGGTTGTGGCAGTGACGGGGGAGATGAGGCGGTGGGGGCACAACACCTCTGCCTGGTTCCGGGGCATGTCAGTTTCTGACAGCTGGTGGGGTCCGAAGCTTAGTGACCGAGGACACATAAGGTGTTCTCTTACAGTTCCCCAGGTCAGAAGCCTCAGGTCCAGGGGTGGGCAGGGCCACACTCCCCCTCGAGCTCTAGAGAACCCCCGCCCCAGCCCCACCTGGGACCCCTCCTCCGTCTTCCTGCAGAGTGCGGCATCTTCCACTGTCTCCGTCCCTCTGCGTCTGGCTTCCACCTGGACCTCTCCTTCTCCGTCCCCTTCTGTCCCCTCCCTCCATCGGAACCCCTGTGGTGACAGGGACCCACTGAGTCACCTGGGACAATCTCATCTCAAGGTCTTTAACTCTGTGGGGTTCTGGGTCTTCGGGCGGAGCTCGGCCCTCAGGTAGCAAGCTGCCTGTTTCCATCTGACCAGGCTCAGGGCCACCTCCCTGCGCCCTCTGCACCCCTCCCGCTGGGCTTGCCCAGGCAGGTCCCCTTGCTGTGGATGCTGCTGCTTTGGCAGCGCCCTGCTCGCCCTGTGTGAAGGTCCCTGCAGCCTCTCGTGCTGGGTTCCTGTCACCCTGGAGGCCCTGGAGGCCCCTTCTGTGCTGACTCCAGGACCGTGCCTTCCTGTCCCAGGTTCCTGTCCCAGGTTCCCACGGTGACTGGAGCCCCGAGAGGTGCCACCAAGGCCTCAGGGGACACGGAATCCCACCTTTGAATCTCTCCCAAGAACCCCTCATCTCCATGGCCTTAGGCCTTCTGCACCACTGTCTGGGGGAGGGTG